GAGGTGTTGGGTGAAATACACAGGGTGTGCTCACGAGCCTCTGAGGCAGTCGACCCTGCAAGTGAAGATCAAAGGCAATTCCCAGAGTGATGATATTAGAGGGCCCTCCCACTGGGCACAGCAGTCTACCATAGCAGCCAGAAATGCCAGCATGAGTGAAATTCCTCCCCACTTTCCACACCCAGCCATCTAGACTCTGCATCAGAAATGGACCCCAGCTGGCCGACTCCTTTCTCAGCTAAAATAACTAGGTGTAGAGCTGGATGAACACAGCAGGCCAAGCAGCATCAGAGGAGCAGGAAAGCTGACGTTTCAGGCCTAGACCCTTCTTCTCAGCTCCTGGGTTGCCAGCTCTGCCTTTGTTTTCAGTCATGGCTATCTTGTGGGCTCCTTTGTCCTGCAGGCACGACATGACTAAAACTGAGGTTTTCCATGATGCTGAGGAGACTCATGCAATCGAGGCTGTCCCCTGTCTCACGAGTTGTCAGTGGCTACTAATTCCTCATTTTCCCGTGGAATCTGGTTAAGCTGCAGAGGAAATATGCTGATTCTGATGACACACACAGCATGTGGACTATGTAAGCTGGTGAGAGAAGCATTTTGCACCTCAACGCCCATCTGAGGACTTAACCATTCACTTACTCTACTTTCCCACCTGTGTTTTGATAGTATGAAACCAAAAATTTGGCCTTGCAGTGTGATGAATGCCATCAATCCTTTGTGACATTGAACCCAGTCTCTCAGAGGGAGTCTGTAGCCTATCACTTCACAGCCACCATCATTGATGCTGCTTTGTTGGTGCATTCTAGCCTTTGTCAGTCATTAGCCAGAGACAGAATCTCACTGTAATCCCAACCAATCTGGAGGAGTTTGTACAGTGTGCCTTTGCTGGCCCATGAGGCATTGAATTGTTTGGACTGTCACATCTACAAACACAGCAGAATTCTTTGATGAAACCCTTGACGACAATGGAGAGTTTTCTATGTGGAGCTTAATGGTTTTTGTTTGTGCTATTCACACGTCTAATGATGCTTGCCATTTCTGTTGTAGTCTTCTGTCAGGAAAAGGCTGCATTCAGAATTTCAGCTTTCTAACTGAGCTGTCTGACCTTGAAATCAGGAACTTTGCTTGTATTGGGATCTGGTTACACAGGTCACCTAACAGCAGAGCAGCTTCGACCACGTGTCACAGAATCACAGTATTCTTAAAGCACAGAACAATGCTATTTGGCCCTTTGTACATCAGGCCAGCTCTCCATATGAATAATATACCTTCTGTCATTCTCTCACACATTCACTGTAATTCTACATGCTCAACTTTGTCAGATAATAATCCAATTTCTTCAAAACCTACCTCCACCACAGTCTCAGTGAATTCCAGATCCCAAACGTTTGCTGCCTAGAAATAGTTTTCTTACTTTCAGCATTCCTTCTTTCACCAGTTACCTTAAAGCTGTGTCCTCTGCTTCTATATCCTCTCACCACAAGGAACAGTTTGCTTCTTTTTGCTCCATTGAGACAGCTCATAATTTTGAATGCATCCATCCAGTTTCCTCTCAACTTTTTCTTCTCCAGGAACAATAATCTCAACTTCTATAATCGATGCATGAAATTGAAACTTTTAAACCCTGGAATCTTTCCAGCCCTGGAGTCTTTCCTGTATGTCTCTGCAATGCCTTCACATATTGCCCAAATTATGGCGTCCAGAACTTGATATGATTTGTCCAGTTGAGATTGGACAATTTTTAATACAAATTTAGCATTCCTTTAATGCCCTTGTATTCTTATGCCCGTACTAATGAAGCCTACTCACTGCATGTTTTGCTAACTGCTCTTCCAACTTGTCCTGCCACCTTCAATAGCTAATGCAAACATACAACCATTTACTTCTGGTCCTGTATCCCTTTCAGTATTGTGACCCTCTTTTTATATTACCTCTTAATGTCCTTCCTATCAAAGTGAATCACTTCAGACCACTTTGGTGTGACATGAGCCTCCTGCCACATGACTGGGTCAGGAAGACACATCCTTCCCATTCTATATGATGTCTGCAACTTCATGGTTCATCAATAGACTCATTGGGTAGGTCAAAGTCCAGTCCAAAATGTCTACAGTGGAACACCTGGTTGAGATTATTTATTATATCATGAGGACAGAACATTCTAAAGTGGAATGTTTTAATTGGAAGCAGGTTAATTTTAGTAGGATGAAAAGTGTTCTAGCTACAGTAAAGTGAACCAAGTTGATAGCATAAAAACTGGAATAGCACAGAGACTGATCTTCAAGGAAAAATTGCATCAGATGTGGACAAGGTATGTTCAAACACAGTGAATGAACAGGAAACCAAACTACAACTACTTAGATGACAAGTGAGATAAAACAAAAAAAAAGAGCATGATGCATGTTGATTGAATTCTCCAAGAATAAATAAATCAAAAATGATATAAAAGTGCAGTGAAGTGGAAAATAAGGTTGACAGAGAGACCCTATGTGTTTATGAGATTTCAATGACAATCATTGTAAAAGAAAAACAAAACCTTTCTATCAACATGCAAGAGGCTATGTAGATTCTATGAGGTACAAAGATGGTTGCATATGTAGGAGTCATGGAGTAAGGCTATTTAATAGTAGGATATTTAATGAGTAGCATGTATTGACATTTACTAAGGAATAAGATTTTCACAAAGTATCAGTGGAAGTGGAAATGTTCAAAATATTGGTTTGGAAGAAAATTGAGGAGCATGAAGCAATGGAAAGCCAGTCTGTGCTGGAGGCAGATATGCCATGGATTGCTGGCATCAGAGGTTGCTAAAGCAAAATGGAGGAATAGATAGTTGGAGGACTTGTTACAGTATTTCAATTGTGCTCAGAAAAAAAAGAACAGCAAATGTGACTCATTTATTCAAGAACGGGTTGTAAGGACAATTCTCTAATTATAAACTGAGCAGGTTAACATTAACAGTAATGTAAAGTTTAGGAACATTAATCAGTAGAATGTCAGTATGCACTTGGAAAGGTTTGTGTTAATTAAGAGTGTGCACGAGTTTTAGGATGATATAGCAAAGAGTACTGAGGAAGGGATTAAGTTGATATCATCTGCATGGATTTTAACAAAGTGTTTGATAATTAACCAAAGGAAAGGGATAGTTCACAAATTTGAGGTTTATAGAATTTGACAACTGCTGTCATTTTATTTAAAGTAAAGCACAGGCAGGTGGGACTAGTTTAGATTGGGATTATGGTCGATGAATTTGGAACGCACTGCCTGTAATGATGGTAGAAGTGGAAATCCTCATAACATTTAACAAATAATAAAGTCATAAAGTCTTAGAGATCTATAGCACATCTTTGGCCCATCGAGTCTGCACTGTTAAAGAAAACACCCACTTATTCTGATCCCAATTTCAAGAATTTAGGATATAGTCTTGTATGGCATGACATTGTAAATGTGCATTTAAATAATTCTTGATTATTTCATTAATTCAGGAAAAGAGATGGATGTATAAATATGAGGTATTAGACAAAATTAGAAAAACCTTAAATTTATTGCAGAATTGGCGTCACAGTGAGTGTTACTTAGAGAGAACTGAGTTATCTAATTGTCTACTTAGTCAATGCAGTACCAATGCAATGGGTGCTGCCAGCTGACTAGAAATGTGATGTAAAAACCAAAAGAACCGTGGATGCGGTAAATCAGAAATGAAAACAGAAATTGCTGGAAAAATTCAGCAGGTCTGGTAGGAAAGAGAAATCGGAGGTAATGTTTTGGGTTCGGTGAGCCTCAGAACTGAGTTTTGAGGAAGGGTCACCAGACCCAAAATGTTAACTCTGATTTCTCTTCACAGATGCTGCCAGACCTGCTGAGATTTTCCAGCAATTTTTGTTTTTGTTTTAGAAATGTGATGTATTCTGTTAGTTTTTATTTGTTGTAAAATGAGCTGAATGCAGCAATGTTAGACAAAGGAGTAATACAGTGGTATTCACTTGCAAGATGTAGAAAAGATCAAGCTTTGCTGCTACAATATTCATGAAATAGTTTTATCAATATACATGGCCCTGTCTAATGGTAACAACTTGCATACACTGTGCTGCTGGTGATCAGAGGAAGTCAAGTGTTAAATATGGATATGAAGTAGATCTTTTTAAATTAACTGGCAATTATTAGCTTGCCTTGGTATTTTACTGTTCAGGGAGCAGCCCAACAGTAGCCAAATTGAAATTTACCCCAGCAGTTATCATGCTATAATTTGAATTGAAAACCTATGTGTTACTAATATATTATTACTACTTTACACTTCATCTTGGATAACAGTCACTTGCTATTCCCCTGACCTGCTAAAAGGCAAATCCATATGGTTGATATGCAGTATCAAAAAAGATTTGGGACCTGGGAAGTCAGAATACGTGGCAGAAAGGGACAGAATGGACTGGGCATAAACTCAACCTGAATATTGACGATTTCTGCAGACTTTTCAAAAGGCAGTGATAGGTGGATGTGAAGGAAGTGGCACTTTAATAAAGAAATTGGTGCGTTGATTACATTAATAAAAGTGAATTTATGCATCATTTGTATCACTACCAAAAAGCGTGACAACTGATACATTTCAGCATTAAGAAAAATTAAGAAAAATTTGGGTTCTAGGAGAATTCTCCTGAAAGATTGAGACAAAGAAATTCCATGCTACGAAGAAATTATACTGGATTGTGCTTATAATTATCTTTACATGCATTTGAATATCCTCGTTTCTTAACGACGATTTAAAATTTGCACATAGTTTTAAGGTGGAAATGACATATTACAACTGTTTTTAGTTACCATATATGCTATAATATAGTAGACATTACGAAATGAATCAAGAATTGTCACTTAAAATAAATACTTATAAGCAAGAACTAAAAGTCTTATGGTCGAGCAATAAAGACAGGAGAACTATTGACAGGAGTTCTTTCAACCTGGGCGGTATGTTCAGCACCCACTCGTTTTCAGTCTTTGCCTGCGAATCAATCCTCAGGAGTTGTCGCAAGTTTGCTCAGTTTGCACACAATGATGCTTTTTGTCTCTAAACTTTCAACGACCTGGCAGTTAAAATACCGAGGCAAGAGTTTCTCATGGAAAAGTGCAGAATCATTACTCCTTCGTATTTCAGTAGCGAGGTAAATTGTGGCCCCTTGCCTGGCGAGATAGCGTAAAGTTTCTATTAATGCCGGGTAGGAAACTGAGCTATAAACAATGTCCGAACCTAGTACGAAATCATAGACAGTAGAAAATTTAGTTTGGTCTTCACCCCATGTCAGGGCGCGGACTTTCACACGATGTTGGCAGGCAGCAGGAACATTGATGGAGACATTGTTTTCTATTTGTTTCAGGATGTTCGGTTTATCTGTTATGGTTACATCTCCACCTGCAAAGAGAAAAATCGATCTCCTTAAATTGTTTGCCACTGATTGCTGCTTATACTTTGTGATAAGGAAGCAAAAAGTAACATTCAAAAAAGAATTATCACAAAATAATGCCCACGAAGTGCCTGACAGTTTTATGCCTTATTATTTTACCTGGTGCTGATAGCCTGCATTTACAGGGAAAACTTTCATTTTGCAACCTATCCCTCACCAAGGCAACAATATCTTTACTTAGGACCAGTACGTAGTCCTATTCTACTAAAGTCGTACATGTTTGCAGATCTCTTTAATTGGGGTATGTTAGTCCATGCTTGCTTATCAACAAAGTGACAGAAGGAGCTATTAAGCTGGAATTACAGAAGAATAAGCATTTCGTTTACAAACAATTTCTGGTTCTGCCAGGGACACTCAGCTCCTGACATCATTGAAGCATTGGTCCAAGCGTGGTCAACAGAACTGAACTCCATAGGAAAAGTGATCGTGATTGCCTTTGACATCAAGGTGGTGTTTAGCTGTTTTGGCATTAAGGAACGAAACAAAAACTAGACAATGGCAATCGGGGTAAGACCTTCTGTTTCATGAAGACACACTTAGCTCCAAGTAAGATAGTTGTGGTTATTGGAGCTTAATTATCTCAGTTCAAAAACATCACTGGAGGAACTCCTTACAGCAATGTCATCGGCCCAATATCTTCATCTCCTTTATCAATGATTGAAACTTCATTGACTTGAAGGTTGAACTGGTTTCCTGTGCAAGATTGCTGTTTGACCTGCTGAAAACTTCCAGCATCACCTGTCATTATTTCAGCGCCTGCAGTCTTTTATGCATTTACGTTATTGTTTACTTCCGTTTACCTGAAGTGCCTGTGGATTTCTTTAGCAGCTAATCATAGGCCTAACTGGAAACATGTCTCTTGCATTCACAGTCTCAAAGGCGCAAGGGTATAGTATCTCATAACTTCATTCACCCAAGACTGGCGAATAACTGCTGACAAGAAAAAAGCTAGGCTACACAAAGATTTTACAGGATGGTAAATAGATACTGCCACTACCACCACTTCAGATGAATGTAAAATCATCCAGGCTGCTATCTGATGGTGAAACATGCCTGAGTCATCAACAACGCTCTTCCGTCAATCAACACTAGTGACTCACGTTAAGTTAGCGACGAGTTCAATATTGCTGGAGGAAATCTGTCCGCAAAAGTGGGAGAGTACCCGCAGGAGTGGCTGCATTTCATTGGCTTGAGGAGTCCCCGGGGACTGCAGCGAGGCTATATAGATGCAGACGCCACTGTTTCCAGAAATCTTCACACTTGCTGACAGCAAAAGGTTCGGCTTTCCTTTTACTTGACACGTTTTAAGGTCACGCTGGTGCTCTGATTTGGGTGTGGGAAAGCTGCTTCTGCATTGCTTTGTGTAGAGTCACCAGATCATTTCCAGCAGTCAAAATAGAGAAATAGTTGTGGGCTTGTTGTATGGAAAGCTTGCAGGACCAAAAACGTAACTTTAAATTCTAAAGTTTTAAGCAAAGAGAGTGCAGTCATCTTAATTCATGTTTACCAATGGCTCGGGAGTTTAACCGGTATCATATCTCAGTCATCCATGAGTGTTAGCGTTGTAACACTGCTCACAGGTACACCATTGTCATTGTGGTCCCGACTAGTGCCTGATGTTAACAATTGTGTGGTTCAGGACATTTCTCTCACTTACCGAGTAAAGTCGCTAAAATCCCTACGATTCCCGTCCCCGATCCCAGCTCAATCACTTTCTTGCCAGTGAAACTGATCTTCTCGTTCTGAAAGTACTGGCAGAGAGCAATCCCCTGAAAATGTGGAACACGTGCCTTAGAAGTAAAAAGCCAGTTGTTGATCGTCCCTTAAACAACACCACCCTCCCTTCTACTCACCACCACACACCCAACCAAAAGGAGGGGAAGGAAGACTGATAGAGACCGTTGCTCCTCCAACAACAATCGCCCCCTTCCCCATGGCCTCGGGGACACGTGCTGATGCAATACCCGCCAGGAGCAACGAAGAAGAGGAATTGAACTGATCTCCACCAGCTCCGAACCGCCCCTACCGCGCAAAACCCCAAACCTACTCGCCACTTAACAAATGCAGCGCTGGGGTTGTGGTACTTAATGTCAAAGAAGTGGAAGACGCCAACTCTGTCTGGTCCTTGCAGTTTGAAGTCCTCATTTAAATATGGAACTTCCCATGAAGTGAACGACCCCATAAGGGCTGGCATTAGAAACGATGCCAACTCTACCCACCTCCCAACCTCAGGAGAATGTTGGCTTCATCCAAACAAGACCGGCTCATATGATTGTGGAGCAGCGCAGGTCAGGAACGCTCAAGGGGAAGGGCAAGGGGAAGTAGGTGGGAGGGGAGGGGGGAAGAGGCGGGGAATTGCAAGACCAAAGTGTAAAACACAACCCATCGATACAGCGAGGGCAGATTATTTAACTAGCTTCACAGGACTCTGAGTAAATCAGAGATTACTGCCACAGACACACACTGTGCTGCCTAGAAAGGGTGAGGGAAGCGCACGACCCAGTTAACTGTATAGTCATACAGCATAGAAACAGACACTTCGGCCCAAATAGTCCATGCCGACTGGGCTTCCTAAACGGACTAGGCTCATTTGCTTGCGTTTGGCCCTTATCCCTGTACCTATACCGAGCCATTTACCTCTCCAAATGTGGTTTAAATATTATTGTTGTACTCGCCTCTATCGATTCTTCTGGCAACTCCTTCCATATGGGCACCACCCTTTGTGAGAAAATGTTGCCCTCTCACGTCCCTTTTAAATCTTTTCCCTCTCACGTTAAACCTATGCCCTCTAGACTCCCCTACCCTGGGCAAAAGGACCTGGCTCTTCACCTTCTCCATGATTTTATAAACCTCTATAAGGTCACCCCTCAGCCTCCAATGTTCCAGAACAAAATAAAGAGTTCCAGCCTACCCAGCCTCTGCCTATAACTCAAACCCTCCAGTCCTGGTAACAACTGTGGGCAACATGGGACAGATTGTGGATCTATTCCCCAAATCCAGGCGGTTATTTCAGAAAAGGAAGAGCGGGTCAACATCACCACAACTCGCACAGAAACACCGTGACAGGGTCTGCAATTTGAGACATGACAGAGGCACGGTCTCTGCCTGCACTCTATTATTCCCTTGACTTACAGCTTCCCAGACATAAGCAGAAAAGCCGAGGTTAGCATTGATGAATCGAGAGATTCTGAGACTATATCCGCAGAATTCGTATTTATTCTCATATACGATGGGATTCGACACGCCAACTTCGTCTCTCGCCACATCGTCTACCCTCCAGGCATAAGTCATCGTTTTTTTCCCAAATGTCCTCTGGAATTCTTCTGACCCTTTGGGAACTGTGGCGAGATTCTGTCCAGCAGCAGGAGTGGAGAGCACGTCGAAGATTTCTGGACGCAGATGAGTTTAAATTTATATAGCCCCGCTGCAGTTCCCCAGAAGTCTTCACAGCCAATGAAACGCAGTCACTCCTCAAGCAACCTCGCTAATTTCACATGAGTCACCAGTGCCCACGGAGGGAAGAGCGTTGGTGATGGCTGAGGGATGTTTCACCATAAAATAGTGACCTGGATCATTTTACACTTATCGGGAGATAGTGGCAGCAGACACGAGAATTGTATTTATCAGTCCGTAGAATGTTTTTTTTGTGCAAGTTCACCTGCATTATTTGTTGTCAACAGTTACCTCAACACCCCGATCACAAAAACAGTACAAGGGCGGTCATGTGAAGCAGGAAGCGAATCCAATTGGTGGGAAAGGATGATTTGGGACAAACGCGCGGTCGCAAATATAAATTATATAGAGATGCTAGCACCGTGCTCTCCTGCAATGCCGTTCATTCTTTTTGAAGCTCTGACGTTCGGATACGATTCCAACACTATATAGTCAACCCTCAACCAGGAAGCAGTGGCAACGGTTTTCTCATATGAGGTGATGGGGAAGAGCCGAGGAGGGAGGATGGGGAGCGATTGATGGGGTGATGTGTATTTCGATCAAGCTCAAGAAAAAGCTCAAGCACAGCGCCGATTGTAGGGACTGAAGCGTGAAGATCAAACGGATGCAACAATCTGCATGTTCTTGTTTTTGGTCACCATTTGTTAATTTGCTATCTGAAGCGGCGAGAAGAGAAGGCTTTTATTCTGCTTCGCTTGGAGTTTTACTGAGAAGGTGAAACGTACGCTCGGACCGCCTGGAGCCCAGAGAAGTTGGAGCCTGAGATATTCCTGAGACGCATTAAAAATATGGAATGCTACAATGGAACTGGTGCTGGCGAAGGGAATTACAGAACACAGTGTCCTGAAAATAAACACCCGCATTTCAATGCGAGTTTCCGTTTACTCTTGTGCCCTGTGCTACATGATTGAGTAACAGAAAACAATGTAGTGGTGAACATTGGGTTTTGGTACTGGAGGGACGCACGCACTGTTGTTCCCAGGGTTTTGCAACAGGAACAATACATTTCTTGATTAGAGTAATGCATGTACAATACTGACTTCAGTTGGCGGGTCCAAGGCGCAACTGCAAACTTTTCAGATGACAAGAAAGAAACCATGAGGGTATTGAGAACTGTGACGAGGGCGTTGACAGATTTGTAGAGGACATCGACAAACTCTTCATTGCACAGAAGCGGAATGTAATACGTTTTGGTAGGAAGACCGAGGAAAGACCATGGGAAATAAAAGGCGCCATTTTGAACCTGGCGAGCAAATAAAAAGCTGGGGGTGTATGTACATCCAGCATTAAAGATGACAGGGCAAGTTGAGAAAGCGGTTGAAAGCGCATGCTGGAGCCTCGGCTTTATAAATGGAGACATAAATTTCGAAAGATGCTACTCAGCACTGCGTCACATGTGCTGGAATACATGCTCTTCAATTCTGGACTCCCGTCTTCCTCTCTTCAGCATAGAGTGCTCAGTTCTTTTCAAATGGGGTATTTCTGTTGATGTGTTTGGTGAAGACATTTATCACATAATAGGGACACAAGATTTTGACTGTGTTAAGAAAAGAAACATGAATTTTAACCATCCTGAAATTCCATCGAACCACATGTCAGATGTCAAGCGGCAAAATAATTCCCAGCGCAAATCACAGCGATATTGTTATGGCACTGTTTGAATACCTTTCACAGTGATTGGTAGGTGGTTGAATGCGGATCATTGGGGTTTGCACGTTCTTGTTTTGACAGCAAACTCTCCCTTTCTTTGCATGTTACTCTGGTCTCTCTCACCAAAGCCACTTTTGAGTAACTTTGTGAGTGTCAATCTCCGGGAGATGATGGAATGCCCCATGTGGTTGTTCACGTGCAGAGGAGCGGATATTGTTCAGAAGCTCACAGGCCACGTCGTCAAGGGCAACCTGAGGCAGCCATTAAATGCTGGCCAACCAGCGATGCCCATGTCTCACGAATGAAAAAAACAGCTTCTCCAGTTTGGGGAAAGGGTACATTAGCCCGAATTAATGAATCTTTGAGAATCATGCACTTTTCCAAACGCAAGCTGCTCAGAAGCCCTCACAAGGATGACCAGCACTGCTATACCCAAAACATGTAGCCACCAGTGGTGTTAAATGGGTGCTGATTTACACTAGTGAGAAAGATGATGCAAACCTTATAAAATGATAGTGGTCTGAATAGTAATAGCAGGCTTTGAAATAGGTCAAATGTTGACTAAGCTAAAGTTAGTTCTTATGAAAAGTGAAGAGTAAAGCTTGTTGGGTGAAATAACATCTAATTCCAATGCATATTGCGTGATACCTGCAATAAGGTGAATAAAGCTAATGAGCAGCAGAAACGGAATCTTACGAATTTAAGGTCAACATGGATGTAAATTAGCAGCAGGAGGCGAGCAGTGGAGAATGTGATGTTTTGGATAGTGGAGTGTTGTACAGTCATAAAGGTCTACAACAGAGAATGAAAAGGTCTTTCAAGTCTCTAACAGAATAGTATAAGCAATGTAGTGTGGAGAGTGGCCTGTGTACTGTACTTGTGGATGGTTCTTTATTGTGATGCACTGTTGGCGGTGGGGTGTATAACCTGAAGTGTACAGCAGGTTTAGATTAAATTGTGTTGGTGTATTGTAGAAGGCGCAGTGAGAGATTGGGGTATGGATAATTGATGTGGATAAGAGATATCTTTTGATGACCAGTCGTATTAATAGTGCAACGGAGCTGCTCCCCTGACTTTTTTGGCACTTCCCGTACCTCCTTCTGGCCCTCAGCAGCTCTTGCACTGGTGACAAGGAGAAACAGACACACAGTGACATAGAGTTGCCCTTGCAATGGACCTCACTTTGCGGCTCCTGGATATAGTGTCGTCCCTAACTTGACAGCTTTTCCTGAGGCGGTCTTTTCATTGTCTGCCTTCTGGAAGATAGCTAAGATGGGTATATGAATAGGAAAGGTTTAAAGGGATATGGGCCAAATGTTGGCAAATGAGACTAGACTAATTTAGGATATCTGGTCGATATGGACGAGTTGGATCGAAGGGTCTGTTTTCACACTGTATGGCTCTATGACTCTGACACTGAAGAGTGCTCTGTGTCGAACAACTCTGCCATTTATTTATTCACCACATCCAAACTGTTCAGGGACCTACACTCGCTCTGCACTTTACACACTTACAAAACTAATAGACGCTCTCACAATCTGCTTCTATACTTCATGCCAGCTTATTCTCATTGCCAAGTCCCCTGACAGGGGAATCCATCAGGCACACACTTAAAACAAAAGCTTGAAAAGTTGGTCAGCGCTGGTCTCCTACCATGCAGCCAGCTTCTTTGGAGCTGGCAAAGTGGATGATCCTTGTATCTCCCTCTTATAGTATCATAGAGTCATACAGTGCGAACGCAGACCCCTCAGTCCAACCAGTTCATGGCAAACTTAATCCCAAAACTAAGCTCGTCCCACTTGCCTGCTCCTGCCCCACATCTCTCCAAACCTTTCCTATTCACGTACTTATCCAAATGTCTTTTAAACGTAGTATTTGTACCCACATCCACCACTTCCTCAGGAAGTTCATTCCACACGTGAACCACCCTTTGTATAAAAAAAGCCTCTCGTGTCTTTTTTTCAAATCTCTCTCCTCTCAAATTAAAAATATGCCGCCTAATCTTGAAATCCCCAACCCCGGGGAAAAGACAACCACTGTTAACTCTATCTGTACTCCTCAGTGTGTTATAAGCTTCTATAAGGTCACCTCAAAACCTCTTACCTTCAAGTGAAGAAAGGTCCCAGCCTATCCAGCCCTTCTTTATAACTCAAACCTTCGATACAAAAGTGATGTTGAGGAAGCGTGATAATTCGTGCTTCTGGATTGAAGATAGACAGCCCAGAATGGATCGGGATTTGGCGAAGTCTGCCTTCAAACTAAACATGGCCATTGCATGGAATGGATCCTGATCGTGTAATAAAATTGGAAACGCTGAAATTATTTAACAGCAAATGTGATATTGAAATAAATCAAGTAGAAATGGGATTACTGATCTTCCTGCTGTGTGATTACCTTAGAACCACAATCCCACCATCCCAAATGAATACCCATTTGTGTGGGCTTGAGATGGGGAAAAAAGTTTTTTCGCCCACGAATCTGCGCAGCATGAATAATGTGAGGATACATAAGTACAAATTGAACTCGTTGAACTGCCAATTAAATGTAAAATTCAACAATATAATGATGGGGATGGTTAAACATAATAATTTTGGGTTAGTTTTGATATACTTTGCTCAAGTACTTGGATATCTATTTGCCCAGATATGTTGTGACATAGCACTAGAAGAAAGTGGGCCTGGGAGCTTGGGCCTTCTTAGCCCAGGAATAAGGACACTGCCACAGTGCCAAAGACCCCACCTGATTGTACATTAGATTTCGCATTAGAATTCACTGGTGATGGTTTTGTTGATATGTGTTCGTCTAAGAGTTGTCTTATGCTGACAGTACACCATATTTTGGGCTTGATTCTTACAGCAAGATTACCGTTTGATAGCCGGGGTTATGCTCTCTCTATTTATGGGGTTCGAACCAGGTTAAACGTGACAGTAGGCCCAGTATTATGAAATGGTGCATAGAGTGATTCAAATACTGTCACACCAGGAAGAAGACATTGAACTTTCCATTTCTTTTTAAACTAAAGCCTAATGTTAGTTGGGGCATTTCCTTCGGACAAATATAAAAGCATAGAATCCCTACACTGTGGATACTGGCCAATCAGCCCACCGAGTCCACACCGACCTTCCGAAGAGCATCCCACATAGATCCACCCTCCCCAACCCTATCACCGTAAGCCTGGCTAATTCACC